ACGGGGTTGGGGTGCAAGAAGGGGAACGGAGTGCAGGAGGGTACTCAGGGCAGGGGGTTGGGGTGCAGGGAGGGTGCAGAGTGCGGGAGGGGGCTCAAGACAGGGGACTGGGGGCTCAGGGAAGGGGGTTGGGGTACGGGGTGCAGCAGGGGGCTCAGGGCAGGTGGTTGGGGTGCAGGAGGGATGCGGGCTGTGTCAGGGGGCTCAGGGCAGAGGGTTGGGGTACAGGAGGGGTGCTGCAGGGGGCTCAGGGCAGGGGGTTGGGGTGCGGGCTCCGGCTTGGCACCGCTTACCTCGAGTGGCTGCAGGGTGGCAGTGGAGCACAGCAAGGCTAAGGCAGGCTCCCTTTCTGCCATGGCCCTGCGCCACTCCCGGAAGCATTTGGCACCACATCCCTGTGGCCTCTGAGGGAGGGGGGAGCAGAGGGCTCCGCACGCTGCCCTTGCCTGTGGGTACCTCCTCCAAAGCTCCCATTGGCCGCAGGCAAGGTCAGCGCGCGGAGCCCCATCCTGCAGGGGCCACAGGGACGTGGTGCCGGCCGCTTCTGGGAGCGGCGCAGGGCCAGGGAAGTAGGGAGCCTGCCTTAGCCCCGCTGCGCCACGGGGCTGGCAATCCCACGGGCCGGATCCAAAGCCCTGATGGCAATCCCGTGGGCCGTAGTTTGCCCACCCCATCCTAGACCCTCTCCAATCTGGCTTCCACCCCTTGCATCCCATTGAAAGTGCTCTCACCAAAGTCTATAATGACTTTTTCCTAGCCAAAGCTCAGAACCAGTACCCCATCCTTCTCCTCCTTGACCTGTCAGAGTCCTTCAGCACAGTCAACCATGCTCTTCTTGAAATTTTGTCCTTCCTTAGCTCTCAGGACTCTGTCTTCACCTGGTTCTCCTTCTACCCATCTAGTTGCTCCTTCAGCTTGTCCTTTGGAGGATCCTTCTCATTCCCCAAATTTAACTTTTGTTGTAATATTTGTATTATTTTAACAGCATTTTCAGTTAGCCCAGCAGATTGTGGGTAACCTGGACTTGATGTAATATGTTTGAAATCATATGCTATGGCAAAACTTAAACTCTTGACTGTTGAAGTCCATTATCAATCATTACCACATTGCGAATGCCATGCAAAAGCTGATTTAATTTTATTAATGAATTGTTTGGCACAAGTGTTTTCTAGTATAGCTATTTCAGGAAAATACAAAAAATAATCAAATACTATAACATAAGTATGTCCTTTATATTCAAATAGATTGAAACCTATTTAGAGCAAAGTCTTGTTTTCTAGAACAAATGTCATAGGCTGTTTAGACTGAGCATTTCTATATTTTTGACGTATGTCACTTTCTTTTATGTAAACCTCTATGTTTTGGTTCATTTGTGGTCAATACAGAACCTCTCTTTCTCTTTCTCTACCTTTACTTTTTTCTATGTCTAAATGTCCCTCATGTATGTGTTTCAACATCTCTGCTGTTAACACTAAATGAATTACTACCCTATTGCCTTTAAACAAAATTCCTTCAATTACTGAAAAGTCTTTAATAAGTTGATTATATGGCGTCAGTATCATTTTATTATATCCTTTTTCAATAGCTGTAATAATCTTTTGTAAATTCTCATTCTGTCTAGTTGCTTGTACAATTTCTTCCCATACTCTTTCTGATATAGGAAACAATTTTTAAATACATCTACATGTACCACATCTTCCTCTTCAATTACATTGGTTACATCATAAACTCTAGAAAGAGTATCAGTAACAATTAATTATTTGCCTGGCTGATATTCTAATTTTAAATCAAATGCCAAATTCCATTTCTAGAGTTTGAAATTCCGCATAGCACAGGGTCTGGAAGATCAAGTTCTGTACTTCACTAGGGTTAAACTCTTGTTTGTTTCCTCTTGCTTACGTATGACAGTTTTCTGCATGCATGTTCCAAAAATAGATAAAAGTTCTATAGGCCTAATTTACAGCTGGAGAACTTAGGTACTCAAAAGTGCCTTGCAAAGGGTCACACTGGAAGTCCGTGGCAGAGCTGCAAATAGAATCCAGGTTTCTTGATTTCTACTGCCCTGCTCGAGCTAGCTCCCGTATTATAATGTATGAATTGGAGAACCGACTTAAATTACACAGGGGTACATATGCTCTCGATACCACCCCAACATGGTTCTACATCCTTGAACAGACATTAGTTTGCCATTACATCTTCACTTTTCAAACAGATGCTCCAATTAGCACTCTAAGTGCACTCAAAGACCGAATTAAAATGTTGCTTTCCCCCCAATTTTCCATTTACTTTTTCTCCATCTACACTCCTCTGTTTATTTGCACAGAGACCTGCTTTATGTGCTGGAAGTACCAAAGGTGCCCATTTGCAGAGGTGTACTTAACAATTCCTTACAGTCTCTGTTTCTCTCTTGCTTTTATCACTAGGGCTGGGAACAATGGGCCAAGGCATTGTGACTTCTCTGGTGAAGGCCAAGATGTCCGTAGTAGCTCTAGAGCAGGATCAGAAGCAGCTGGAGGTAGGAGTAAGAGCTGTGACATCCCTTCTGGAACATGAAGCTTCAAAAATGCAGTGGATTGGCCAACGCCCAGATGCCTGTGATCCCGCCCTTCTCCAGTTCACTCTGGACTTCGGTGTGTTACAGAATGCAGATCTAGTTATTGAGGCTGTGTTTGAGGACATGGCACTGAAGAAGGAGATCTTCCATAAGTTGTCAGCAATCTGCAAGCCAGGGTCCTTCTTGTGCACTAACACCTCCGCCCTGGATATTGATGAGATTGCTTCAGCCACTAGTCGCCCTCACCAGGTCATTGGTACTCACTTCTTCTCACCTGCCCATGTAATGAAGCTGTTAGAAATAATCCGTGGTCGTCACACATCGCCCATCACCATTGCCACCGCCATGGGTTTAGCCAAAACTGTAGGCAAAATAGGGGTTGTAGTAGGGAATTGCTTTGGATTTGTTGGGAACAGAATGATGACTCCTTATGCTGAACAGGCAGTTTTTCTGCTAGAAGAAGGATGTAAACCAGAAGAAGTAGATCAAGCTCTAGAGGGATTTGGTTTCAATATGGGGCCTTTCCGAATGTCAGATCTTGCTGGGCTTGATGTGGGCTGGAGATCTCGGAAAGGGCAGGGCCTGACTGGACCCGAACTGGCTCCAGGAACTCCTGCTCGCCTGCGTGGCAGGAGGAGATACAGCCCACTGCCTGATCTTCTATGTGAGAATGGAAGGTATGGCCAGAAGACTGGCATGGGCTGGTACCAATATGAGAAACCTGGGGCTAGAATAGCTAATCCAGATCCATGGCTTCACAATTTCCTGATTGGGTATAGAGATTCCCATCATATTAAGGCACGTTTCATAGACGAGGAGGAAATCCTGGAGCGCTGTCTGTATACCCTCATCAATGAGGGCTTCCAGATCTTAGATGATGGAATAGCTTCTGCCCCAGAAGATATTGATGTAATCTACATCCATGGCTATGGATGGCCAAAGCACAGAGGTGGCCCCATGTTTTACGCTTCCACCATCGGGTTACCTCGCATTCTGGCTAAACTGCAAAAATATTCTGAGGCCCATCCTGACATTCCCAGAGTGCAACCCAGTGCTTTTCTGAAGAAATTGGTGTTAGTGGGAAACCCTCCATTGAAGGAGTGGATGTCCCATGCAGGACACCAGAGCAGTAAGCTGTGATGTCCCTGCAGCCTACTCTACACATTCAGCCACTTGTCTAGTGGTGACAAGTATCTCTCACTGCCATAATCAGTGATGTCTGTTCCAATCAAACCCAAAGCACAGCAGGTTGAAGAATAATGTCTGGCTCAGTTGAGCGGAGTAACTACTCTCTCTAATGGTAGTTGTTGTCGCTTTCCTTTCCCTGCTCACAATGCACCCATCCCTCCCACCTCACTAGTGCACCACACACGCCCTCAAGCTGCCAGTAGGAGACCCCTTCTGGCTGGCTGTTCCCTGACAAGCTGCACTCAGCCGACTGCTGGATCCTAACAGCTGGTGTTCTTAACTGCCTGCCTCTTGTCATTCCTCTGGTGAGGGAGGGAGCAACACCTGGCAGCTTGTGAGACAGTTGAAAGTGGGAGGGTAGGCTGGGGGTCCTGGCTTGGGGACACAGAGCCAGTGAAGATTCACTGCAGACAGGTATCTTCACCTAGCTCTGCCTCCCAGCAGCTACAGATCTCCTCTTGTTGCTGCCACAGAACCCTCTAGTGACCAAAGGCAAACCGTAGGAATTAGTCCCCGTGGGAGAGCCACCTGGGAAGCATCCAGTTTACTAAGGATTCATTTACATGATGAACCTTCCCCTCCCAAAGGGAACAGATTAGACTGTCCCAGATAATGGTCTCTTCACGGAGTGCACGTTTGTGGGGTTTTGGATTGGCTGGAGGAAGTGGAGAATGGTACAAAATGGAACCGTGCATTTTGGAAATAAATTGTGATGCAGTGAAGAGAGCATCCAGGGCTAGCATCAAGGGATAGCACTCAGCACCTACCTCCACCCCCAAAATAACACTAATAAACACAGCACAATCACAGAAGACTATGACCTGCTCATTAGCTAGTGGCTGGAAGATCACATCCTTTCCCCTCCTTCCTGCCCTCCAACCTCTTCCTCCAGACAAAAGTGCCTCCTCTCCAAGAGGGAGTGTATGTGTGTTCCCAGAACGCCTCACCTGCTTTTCTAGCCTGACTGCTGGCAGCTGCTGAGCATAGAAGGCATGGAGGGCCTTGTGCACTACAAGTGACAGGAGTAAAGCCTTTCTGTGGCACTTCAGTGTTTCAGGTGTACAAAGGGCACCATGGAAAGTAAATGGGCTCAAGAGCTCTGCAGATAGGAGTTGTGCTGCAGGCATGGAGGGAAGTCTCCAGCAGATAAAAGAACAAGGAAGAGAAATATTTGCTTTTCTGAACTTGGCCCTGCGGGGTAAGGACTCCTCTTGCTCTTGTGCAAAGAGCACAGCTCCCAGTCGCTGGGACAGATTCTTTTCTTAGGAAAAGCCATATCTGAAATCAAACTCTGCTTTGTTTCATTAATTTTTAATAAAGCTGATTTTCATTTTCTGTCATCACCTACATTGTATTATCAGGTGTTGCTGCATTGTTCTCCCACATGTACACTGGTCACTTTTTTGCCCACTTGTAGCAGATATCAGGGTCTTGCAGGTCAGTTTCCTGGTGGTAGACACCCACAGAGCTCCTGGCATCAGGTTATCAGACCCAACAGCTTCAGCCACCTGTGATTGTCTATAGATAAAAGAACCAGTTGATGGTAGCCATCAACACCTTTCAGCATAGCAATGCACCCCATGTCAGCTATTGGGAGGGAGGGCAGAGAGTTTTAAAATATTGACATCCTGAATGACTTATCTCCTACAAAGAAAGAAAAGAAATAATAATGGAGGGAGAAATAGGGGACATACAGAGTTCCTGGTAGGAGAGGGAGACTGGAAAGGAAACACTGCACCTCTAGCACATAGTGGAGGTGGGAATGGGTGACAGAGCCCCTGGCATGAGGGAATAGGCTGCAGGGAGTTCCTGAAATAGGAGGGGCCGGCACACAGGGAGTTTGTGGGGGGAATGGAGAGATGCAATAAGTGCCTGGTGCATGCAGCATGCTCAACCTACGCAAGCTACCAAATGTGCAACCTTCTAGTTTTGGCTAATCATAATAGTATGAATGTACAAACCTGAAGAGCCCAAACATTGGCCCTGGTCAAGAAACTACAGCCAAGATTTTCAAAATTGGAGTGTAAAGGTAGACTCCTAAGACATTTTCAAAAGTCCTGAGTACTCAGCAGCTCCCATTTTGTTCTATTCGGATTTATATGCCATGCACATCTCCATGGTCTGAACCAGGGGTTGGCAATCTGTGGCATGCATGCCAAAGAGGGCACGCGGGCTGATTTTTAGTGGAACGCTGCTGCCAGTCGGGGTCCTGGCCGCCGGCCCGCTTCGCCCACTGTCAGCCTGAATTATGGAACCCCAGACCAGCAGCAGAATGAGCTGCTCAGTCCGCTGCCATTCTTGGGTTCTGGCCGCTGGCCCCTTGCCAGCCAGGGTCCCGGCCGCTGGCCCTGCTCAGCCCACTGCTGGCCTGGATGGACAGAACCCGGGCCAGCAGTGGGCTGAGCGAGGCCGGCAGCCGGGACTCTAGACTGGCAGCGGGATGAGCTGCTCAGCCCATTGGCGGTCTGAGGTCCTGGCCGCCGGCCCCTTACCAGCCGGGGTCCCGGCCGCCGGCCCCGCTCAGCCCGCTGCCAACCTGGATGGACGGAACCTGGACTGAGTGGGGCCGGCGGCTGGGACCTTGGCTGGCAGGGGCCAGCGGACGGAATCCCAGACCGGCAGCAGGATGAGCGGCTCAGCCCACTGCCAGTCTGGGGTTCCGTCTGCTGCCCGCGCTGCTAGTCTGGCACGCAAAACCTTTTACTGGCACGTGCAACCTTAAATTAATGAAGAGCAAAAGGCAGGCTGAAGATGAGTGTCTTGCACCTGAAATGGAAGGTGCTGAGGTTTGTGGAGTTTCTTAGGACTGGTCTACATTACAAAATTAGGTCAACGTAAGCCGCCTTGTATTGACCTAATTGTGCATGTGTCTACACTTAAATGTATCTCCCACCGATGTAAGTGCCCCATTATGCATCCATAGTAACACCACCTCCCCATGTGGCATTGAGCCATAGTTGACGTACTTGGGGACAGGTGACCAGGGGATCCAGCTGCACAGTGAGCCAGGACCTGTTTTTGACTCCAGCATAGTCCAGTCAGTGCTGATAGTCAAGCACAGGTGAGCCTGGTGCAGGGGAAGGATCCTCAGATAAGTGTGTAAATAAATTTTCCATTACAGAAATGGCGCCCCCAAATTAGCAGGACACAGCTTTCAACTTTTCATTAATTTACTTGTGCTAGAAGAGGTAGTGGTACAACCAAGAGAAGTAGAGTTACTATCTGCTTCTCATTTCCCTCTGGAGTTATGCAGAGGGGGCCATGCAGAGCAGTGTGTTATGTACACAGGGATGTCCCTTGAATCCTCCTGAGAGAATGAAACAACCATGGAGATACCCTGCAATCCTCTCCTGAAGATTTCTAGCCTTGCTATGGAGAGCTCCATTGTGCCTGAGGAGCACAGGTGTCAAGTACATTCCTGGTTCTGCACTTTCCCTCCCCTTTTTCCCATCCACACACCCTCAATTTAAGCGTGTGTACACATGCACAAGAGACAGTTCAGACCCAAAAGGACAATTTAACCCTCTAGTCTGACCTTCTACATAACAAGGCCATGAAAAGTTCTTGCACTGAGCCCACCAAAAGGAGCCCTGTACTTGTCAAATGTATCTTTTAGAGCAGGGGTCGGCAATGTTTGGCACGCGGCTCGCCAGGGTAACCACCCTGGCGGGCCGGGCCACTTTATTTACCTGCTGACACGGCAGGTTCGGCCGATCGTGGCCCCCACTGGCCGCGGTTCGCCGTCCCGGGCCAATGGGGAGCGCGGGAAGCGGCGCGGGCGAGCAATGTGTTGGCTGCAGCTTCCCACCACCCCCATTGGCCCGGGACAGCGAACCACGGCCAGTGGGGGCCGCGATCGGCCAAACCTGCCACGTCAGCAGGTAAATAAACTGGCCTGGCCCGCCAGGGTGCTTACCCTGGCGAGCCGCGTGCCAAACGTTGCCGACCCCTGTTTTAGAGAGATATCCAATCTTGATTTAAATACTCCAGTCATGGAGAATCCACCACATCTCTTGGTAGTTTGTTTGGTTAGTAATCCACAATAACCCCTAAGACTCTTCCACAAAGTCTCTGCTTTCCAGGATACAATTCCCCATCCTATAAGTATGCATAACGTTCTGACCCTTTTAAAATGCAAGCTGTTTAGTTGAGCGCAGACTACCAAGCAATCCAGATCACTCTGACCTGTCTTGATTGTTATTTATCACTTGCTACCAATCTTTGTGTCACTTGAAAACTTTATCTGCAATGATTTTATATTTTCTTCCAGATATTAAAAGAAATCTGATCAGCTAGGATGAGTTTGTGGGGATGTCAGTTAATATGGTATGGTCGGAGCAAGGGCAGCTTTAGCAGGAGTTCATGGGTGCAGCTTCATCCACAGAAACCCTGCAGCAGGGGCTCCTGTCTCACAGGGTTGGGCCCAGTTCCCCGCTCTGGGTTCAACTTGGCACAGGGGTTGGAGCCGCTGCTACAGGGACAGTGCAGGGCAGGCTCACTCTCCAGCCTCCCCCACAGGGCCTCCCATCCTCACCAGGTCAGGATTAGGGTGGGGGCAGATGCTGTGGGCATTTAGTGGCGAGGAGGTGGTGCCCATGGAGCAGGAATGCACCCATTGATATGGGAGGCTGCATCCGCCACTGAGTTTTAGTCACCAGATGGTTACAAGTTTTTTCTTAGAATGGGAGCCCTGTTCAGTCTTTGAAGACAGGCTGCATTGTTGTTAGTTTTGTGGGGTAGTTTCTTTTTGGGGAACTGTTGAAAGTAGTGTGCTAGGTTGCTCTTTGCTTTAATCTCTCTGATTTGTACAGAATTTTGGGGCAATGTTGCTCCCTGGGAACTGGGCATTGGTGTTTTGGCTGAAATTTCAGAAAGAGGGATTTGTCTGGGTGTTGTTTGACCACCTCTGTTCAAGGACTGGGGTATATAGTGCAAAAACAAGTTACACTAAGGCCTGGTCTACACTATGAGTTTAATTCGAATTTAGCAGCGTTAAATCGAATTAACCCTGCACCCGTCCACACAACGAAGCCATTTATTTCGAAATAAAGGGCTCTTAAAATCGATTTCTGTACTCCTCGATAAGCGGAGTAGTGCCAAAATCGATATTGTCATTTCGAATTAGGGTTACTGTGGCCGCAATTCGATGGTATTGACCTCCAGGAGCTATCCCACAGTGCACCATTGTGACCGCTCTGGACAGCAATCTGAACTCGAATGCACTGGCCAGGTAGACAGGAAAAGCCCTGCGAACATTTGAATTTTATTTCCTGTTTGCCCAGCGTGAAGAGCACAGGTGACCACAGATAGCTCAGCTCATCAGCACAGGTAACCATGCAGGCCAATAATCGAAAAAGAGCACCAACATGGACCGTACGGGAGGTACTGGATCTGATCGCTGTATGGGGAGAGGATTCAGTGCTAGCAGAACTTCGTTCAAAAAGACAAAATGCCGAAACTTTTGAAAAAAATCTCCAAGGTCATGATGGAGAGAGGCCACAATAGGGACTCAGATCAGTGCCGCGTGAAAGTCAAGGAGCTCAGACAAGCCTATCAGAAAACAAAGGAGGCAAATGGTCGCTCCAGGTCAGAGCTGCAGACATGCCGCTTCTACGCTGAGCTGCATGCAATTCTAGCGGGGGCCGCCACCACTACCCCACCTCTGACTGTGGATTCTGAGGTGGGGGTAATCTCATCAGCCACACCTGAGGATTCTGCGGACGGGGAAGAGGAGGAGGAGGAGGAGGTGGTGGAGGACAAGCCTGCAGAGAGCACACAGCACTCTGTTCTCCCCAACAGCCAGGAACTTTTTCTTAGCCTGAGTGAAGTACCCTCCCAAGCCAGTACCCAAGACCATGACCCCATGGAAGGGACCTCAGGTGAGTTTACCTTTTAAAATATAAAACATGGTTTAAAATCAAGTGTTTTTTAATGATTAATTTGCCCTGAGGACTTGGGATGCATTCGCGGCCAGTACAGCTACTGGAAAAGTTTGTTAACGTGTCTGGGGCGGAAATCCTCCAGGGACATCTCCATGAAGCTCTCCTGGAGGTACTCCAAAAGCCTTTGCAGAAGGTTTCTGGGCAGTGCAGCCTTATTCCGTCCTCCATGGTAGGACACTTGACCACACCATGCTAGTAGCAAGTAATCTGGTATCATTGCATGACAAAGCCTGGCAGCGTATGGTCCCGGTGTTCGCTGGCATTCAAGCAACATCTGTTCTTTATCTCGCTGTGTAATCCTCAGGAGAGTGATATCGCTCATGGTAACCTGGTTGAAATACGGGAATTTAATGAAGGGGACAGAGGTGGCCCTTCCTACTGGGCTGTTTGCCTGTGGCTGAAAAG